GCAAACGTGCCGTCGTCTTCAACTCAACCGCAACTCTAGCCAGTCTTCATTACACCGGATTTCAGGGTGAGCTAAAGCTTCTAGCTTGGACTGGATCTTCTTCTTCATGTCTTGATGCCTTGAAGTTCCGGCATGGACTAGCTTTTTATTTATATTTAGTTTCTTAGATACTCTTAGTCTTAGTAATTTGAGGATAGATGTTCTTGTGATGATGACTTCCAGATTTTGGGGATATTAATTGATAAATTTTAGAAGTTGTTAATTGACTTCGTTAATGAGTTTTAAGTCTTCCGCATTATTTTCTGTTTATTATTGGTAAATGATTGGGGTTTAGATTGGTTGGTTCGTTCACATAGAAGGATAAATGTAGGTGCCACTCACGATACGATTTTGGTCGTGACATCAACGGAAAGGGAAGGCTCAATTCCCATAATGATTATTCGGTTGGCTAAGGCAAGTGGGTTTCTAATCCCTTGTTAAGCGCATGAAATTCGTGTATTTCCTTTGTGATGTTTGAGAATAATTTGGAGGCTTATTGCCTATTTGTTGGTGTTGTATCAAATTGCATTGTTGTAAATTGTGCCTTGTTATCAAAATGGTTATCTCCTCGTTTTCCTTTGAGCATGTCATTTGCATTGATCTTATACATGGCAGTGATAAAAGTTATGTGATAAGAGGATGTACCATTTCGAGGGAAGTATCGCACGCCACGATAGATATTATATTTCGAGTAACGTATTGCACGCCATGATAGTTAATACTATCGAGGGTCTGTTGTGCACCACGACAGATGCATGGACAGATATGTCCCCCATGGGTTCCAAACTGAGAGACTGCGGGTGTGTATTATTAGGTCAGACATGCATCACTATATTTGACATTGCATTTCATGGCATTGCACAATTTGATCATTGATGAACTTGAACTTGTGTTTTGCTGATCTTGTGAGTAATTTTCTGTGAAATTTGTGACTGACGAATATTGAATTATTATTGAAAACTGTAATATGTTAGAGTGTTGCTATTGAGCTGGGTGCTTGTGAACTGTATGGTTGGACTGGTGTTATGCAGGTTGTAATGTGGAGGTTTGGACATGGTGTAAGGAGTACCCGTATTTTGTTCTCTTATGGTGTGTTTAAAGGTTTGCTTGTTGGGTACCGTGTGGTTTGGTACTCACCCCTTGCTTCTACAAATTATTGTAGGTTACGAGCCCGTTTATTTTTGATACCTTCCATTCTCTTCGTTTTTGAGGCATTTTGTGGAGAATTGTGATGTACTTGTTTGTCATCCCAGCAAACCTACCTACTCCCATTTATGACTTTGTATTTACTTGAAATACAACGTCATTTTAGACTGTATATCTTATTTTAGTTTTGTTATTTATATTAGAGGCTAGTGCATGTGACAACCAGGTTTTGGGGATTGAATTAAGTTGAATTGTTTTTGTATTAGTAATTATTATCAGACTTTGGTCTTATTTTCAAATTTTATCAAAATTATTGGGTAAGGCTGACTTGTCTTGGTGGGATAAGACGAGTGTCATCACACCCATTTTTGTATCGTGACAAAATGATATCAGAGTCCCAGGTTCATAGGTCTCACGTGTATACAAGCCGAGTCTACATAGAGTCTCAAGGATCAATACGGAGACATCTATACTTATCTGAGAGACTATAAAGACTATAAGGAAACTTTATTTTTGTTCATTTTTTCTTATCTTGCGTGGTCACCTTCTATAGTACTCAGTTATTATGTACTCTTTTGACAGATGACGAGGACTAGAGGTAATGTTACTGGTAGTAGAAGGGGGGCACTTCCCGAGGCAGTTGTTGAGGCCCCAACTAGGGGTAAGGGTAGAGCTCGAGGTAGAGGTCATGCTCATGGTACGACACTATCCAGAGGCCTTGGCCGTGGAGCAACACCCGTGAGAGGTCGTATTAGAGATGTCTCTCCAAAGCCTCAGATTGATGACAGAGAGGACCAAATTCCTCCAAATCCTGCAGTCACACATTTGCTTCAGGATACATTATTGAGGGTGTTAAGTGTGCTGAAGGGCTTTACTCAGGGTGGTGGTGCAACTGCCACACCACATGACTTTCAGACTAGAGACGGGGCTCACAACCAAGAGCACCAACAAGCTTTAATTGTTTAGGATGCAGTGGGGTAGTTACCAATGGATCCCGCGGTTGAGAATGATGTTGCACCAGCAGTTGGGGGTCAAGTTGCACTGGTGGTTGTTTTGACAGAGGATGAGCAGTGTAGGTATAAGAGATTTCAAAATATGGACCCACCTCAGTTTTAGGGTGGGAGGAGTGAGGAAGCTCATGAGTTTCTGACCACATGCCAAGAGTTACTAGAGGTGGTTGGATTAGCTGAGTTGCATGGGATTCGATATGCTAAACTTCAACTTCGTGGGCCAGCGAGAGAGTGATTGAGGACTTATTCGGGGGCTTTGCTAGTTGGATCTCCTCCAGTGAATTGGGAGGATTTTTCTAGTACATTCCATGATCATTTTATCCCTTGGAGCGTGAGAGAGAAGAGTCGCTTGAGGTTTGAAAATATGAGGCAGGATGGTTTATCGGTTACAGAGCATGAGACGAGTTTTTGCCACTTGTCTAGGCTTGCGTTGGCCATTATTCCAGATGAGATAGAGAGGATCCGCAAATTTGTGAGGGAATTGACTTTCTCTATCAAGTCAGCTGTGTTTCGGACATCTAGAGAGGGGGCTTCTTCCAGTCCATTATGAGCGCCGCCAAAGAGACGAAATTCATGGATAGAGAGAAGTTTGGGGACCCTAAAAGGGACCGTACATCAGGTCAGTTTCATAGTACCTCATCTGGAGGTAGGGGATCACAAAGGGGGAGTGTTTCCTTTCAGTAACGGGGACCCATCCATGCATCTATGATGACATCCGAGGGTAATTAGACATCTAGGAGTTCTTATTGCCCGGGTCAGGGCTTGTACCGTTCACAACAACGACCTACAGGGAGAGGCAATTATAGTGGATTTTGAGGTTCCACACAACATTTTCCAGGTTAGAGATTTTGCTTTGCTTGTGGAGATCCCGATCACCTGATTTGGCAATGTACTTCTCAAAGGGGTCGTGGTGGGCTTTGACCTAATTCTTCATTTCAGACTAGATGACCAACACCACAGGGTAGAGGCCGTGGCAGATTTCAGTCAGGTAGAGGTGATAGATTTTCTAGTAGTGGTGTTGCAGCTCAGCAAAGTGGGGGTAGAGGTACCACCCAGGCTGAAGGTGAACGAGGGGGCCACTGTTATGCTTTTTGGGTGAGACCAGAGGCAGAAACCTTTGATGTTGTTATTACATGTATCATCCCAGTATGCGATCGATCTATGTCTGCATTGTTTGATCCAGGGTATACATTCTCTTAAGTGTTTACCTATTTTGCTGCTGAATTTGGTATGATATGTGATAGCATGAATGTACCTATTCGTGTTTCTAAACATGTGGGTGAGCCCTTAGTGGTGGATCAAATGTATAGATCCTGTCTTGTTTCTTAGACGGGGTATGAAACTTGGGTAGACTTAATCATTCTGGGGATGGTAGACTTTGATATTATCTTGGGTATGAATTGGTTTTCTTTTTATCATGTTGTCCTTGATTGTAATGATAAGACCGTGACCTTAGTGATGCCTGGTGTTCTGAGGGTTGAGTGGAAGGGTATTAGTGGTTCTTATCCTAGCAAGGTCATCTCTTTTATCTGTGCTTAGAGATTGGTGGAGAGAGGGAGTTTGTCTTACTTAGATTTTATTTGGGATACTAGTGTTGAACCACCTTTCATGGACTCTGTTCCCATGGTTCAGAAGTTTCCCGATGTATTTTTTTCTGATCTTTTAGGTGTTTCTTCCGATAGGGATATTGATTTTGCTCTTGATTTTGGAGCCGGGCACTAATCCTATTTCTATCCCTCCATACTATATGACTCCAACAGAGTTGAAAGATTTGAAAAATCAGTTGCAGGATTTATTGAGTAAGGGTTATAATCGCCCTAGTGTGTCACCTTGGGGTGCCCCTATATTGTTTGTGAAGAAGAAGGATGAGACTATGAGGATGTGTATTGATTACAGACAGTTGAACAAGGTAACAGTAAAAAGAATAAATATCATCTTCTGCATATTGATGACTTATTTGATCAGCTATAGAGAGCATCATTGTTTACAAAGATTGATTTGAGGTCCGGGTATCATTAGTTGAAGATTAGGACATCAGATATCCCTAAGACAGCTTTTCGGACCCGGTACGGGCACTATGAGTTCCTGGTGATGTCCTTCAGATTGACTAATGCTTCTGCAACATTCATGGAGTTAATGAATGGGGTGTTTCGACCATACCTTGATTTTTTATGATTGTTTTCATCAATGACATCTTGGTTTACTCCAAGACTGAGGAGGACCATGTCCAACACTTGAGAATTGTACTTCAGAGGTTGAGAGAAGAGAAGTTGTATGTCGAGTTCTCAAAGTGTGATTTCTGGATTAATCTATGACATTCTTGGGACATGTGGTGTCCAAGGAGGGTATTAGAGTAAATACGGCCAAGATTGAGGCAGTTAGAGGATGCGCGCGACCTACTTATCCTACCTAGTTTTGGAGTTTTGGGGTTGGCAGGTTATTACCAATGATTTATTTAGAGTTTCTCTACTATTCTAGCTACATTGACTAGATTGACTCGCCAGGGTGTGGGTTTTCAATGGTCTGATGAGTGAGGAGAGCTTTCAAAAGCTCAAGACTTTGTTGACTTCAAATCTGATGTTGACTCCACCTGAGGATGGTGTAGACTTTACTTGTATTGTGATGCTTCAGGAGTCGGTTTGGGGGCGTGTTAATGTAGAAGAGGAAGGTGATTGCTTATGCTTCTAGGCAGTTGAAGTCACATGAGAAGAACTACCCTACTCATGATTTGGAGTTGGAGGTTGTGGTATTTGTACTTAAGTTATGGCATCATTATTTGTATGGGGTGCATTGCGAGATCTTCACTGATCATCGGAGTCTTCAATATATCTTTAATCATAGGGATTTGAACATGAGGCTGCGGAGATGGATTGAGTTGCTGAAGGACTATGATGTGACCATTTTGTATCATATAGGGAAGGCCAATGTTGTGGCCGATGCTCTGAGTAGGAAGACTCCTAGCATGGGGAGTCTTGCAACGCTTAGTATTGAGGAGAGACCATTGGCTAGAGATGTGCAGATATTAGCTAACAGTCTTGTCCACTTATAGATTTCAGAAGAGAGTGATGGGATGATTGTTTTTATTGAGGCTTGGTCTTTTTTAGTCGAGCAGATCCGTGCACACCAGTTTGATGATGAGAAGTTATGTCTTATTCGAGACAAAGTATTGAGAGGGGAAGGTAAGGAGGTTGTCCTTGATTCTGATGGTGTCTTGAGGATTGGAGGCATGATTTGTGTGCCCAAGAAGGGCGATTTGATTAGATTGATTCTTGAGGAGGCCCATTGTTCTCGATATTTCATCCATTCGGGAGCAGTGAAGATGTATCATGATCTGAGTCAGCATTACTGGTGGTGTGGGATGAAGAGGGATATTTCATACTTTGTTTTGAGGTGTTTGACTTGACAGCAGGTCAAGTGAGAGCACCAGCGGCCCGGGGGTATATCTTAGAGCATGCCTATTCCTACTTGGAAGTGGGAGCAAATTACTATGAACTTTGTTGTGGGTTTGCCTACCACAGTGGGTGGTTATGACTCTATTTGGGTTGTTGTTGATAAGCTGACCAAGTCTTCCCACTTCATTCCAGTTCGGGTTAAGTATACGAAAGAAAAGTTAGCCGAGCTATATATCAGTCAGATTGTGAGACTACATGGAGTTCCTGTATCTATTATATCAGATCGAGGTTCACTATTTACTCCTTATTTCTGGAAAGCATTATAACATGGTCTGCGAACTCAGTTAGATATGAGTACAACTTTTCACCCTTAGATAGATGGTCAGTCTGAGCGCACATTCAGGTGTTGGAGGACATGCTCCGAGCATGTGTGATTGACTTCGGTGCTAGATGGGATCGGCATTGACCTTAGCAGAGTTTGCCTACAGTAACAGTTATCACTCTAGTATTCAAATGGCCCCATTTGAGGCTTTGTATGGTAGACGATGTAGGTCTCCAATAGGTTGGTTTGATTCGATGGAGATGGACTCTTTGGGTACAAACCTGCTTAGAGATGCTATGGATCAAGTTTGTATGATTCAGTATAGACTGTTGACAGCCCAGAGTCGACAGAAGAGTTATGAAGACCGGAGAATTAGAGTCTTAGTGTTTATGGAGGGTGATCATGTTTGGCTCCGAGTATCACCCATGAAGGGTATGATGAGGTCAGGAAAGAAGGGTAAACTTATACCTATATTCATTGGAACTTTTGAGATTTTGAGCCGAGTGGGATAGGTGACTTATAAGTTGGCGTTGCCACCTAGTTTGTCAGCAGTTCATCCCGTTTTCCATGCCTCTATGCTTCAGAAGTATATTCCGGACAAATCTCATGTAATTTCACTTGATTATGTGGAGCTGGGTCCAGACTTGACTTATGAAGAGGAGCCTATAGCTATACAGAATAGGCAAGTTATAAATCTTAGGACGAAGGAGATTGCTTCAGTTAAGGTGCAGTTGAAGCACCGTTCAGTAGGAGAGGCAACTTGGGAGACAGAGTTTGACATGCGTGCTAGATATCCTCAACTTTTGAAGCTTCAGGTACTTTCTTTCAACTTATGTTCGAGGTCGACCATAATTTTAAGTGATGGATAATGTAATGACCCGGACCCAAAAAGTCATTTTTTGCCATTTGAATAGTCATTTAACTATAGTTAATAAATTTATGGATAATTTAATTATTTTTAATAATAATGTGCCAAGTTTAAAATAATAAAATACGTTAGTGGAATTATTAATTTTAATATATGGGTTATAACTGAATAAGAAAAAAATAAAAGGGAGGTGGAGGGTTTCGGCATCGCAAGTCTCAATTGCTCTAGGTACGACATCAAGTGCTCTCTGCATATTGTCATTAATTTCTACAAATGATGAATAGGTGTGAAAATAATATTTTATTATATTGGAAGGGAAAGATTTCTTTCATATATTCGGATATTAGATATATATGGAAGTGTATTCCTTTTCATTTTTTTAGAATTAAGAATTGAGGAAGTTTGAGGATTCATTAATTTTTCTAGGAACACTAACCACTATATGATACTATTATATTACCATATTTGTGTATTAAATGAAGTGGGTTAAGAAGATTTGTGCATGAATTATTGTAATGTTTTGAAACTTGGGAAAAATAAATAGAAATTGTGGTGGGTATTCTTAGTGTGATGGATCCCTAAGGTATGTGATTTTTGGGATATGGCAGATTGTCAATCAAGATTTAAGGAAAGACGTTAATTACAAGATATATCTTTGGCAATAATAAAGTGCTGGTTTGTAGTTCTTTTGGTTGTTATCAATTATTAATAATAATTAACTTGGGTAGTGGTGATTCGTGGGGTTTTGACACTTATTGGAGGCAAGCATTATTTTAATGTTTATTGTTGAATTAGTGTAGTAGTTATAAGGGGGTGCATGTGTAGTGTGATGTCATATGATGCTCTGCATCATTCCGTGGACTTTGGAGAAATGAGAAACAAGAAACAATGAGATTGTTGTTAGTATAATTATATAATTTTAGGTTATCAATGGGTTTTAAGGGAATTGATTTTTTAGGAGTTTATTTATATGTATATTTTCCATACACACAACCTACAGTTTCAAGTAGTAATTAAAATGCTCACTAAAGGGTTATGACGGTAATCATTAAGAGTTATAATATTATAAATGAGAACCATATAAGTGAGGAATTTATGTCTTGACTTCGAAAAAATTGGAAATTCTTATTTTTTTATCATCAATTTATAATTTAAGTTAATAAATGGAAATCGGTATTAAATATTGGGTTATTTAATTATATGAATACCATTCGAATCATGATATTGAAAGAATGGAATTAACATTATACTTGAAAAACTTGAAAATTGTGATAGTTGAAAGGTTAGTTGGCATCAAGAATTAAGAACCTGACTATAAATTTGGGTGAATTTCAAGGTCAAGGTTAAACATATAATAATGTGGGTGTTGTTGTTTCCGAAACCTTATTGTGAATATATATTTAAATAGATTGCATTGGTTCGGAAGTTCAACGAAACGGAAGGCTCAATTCCTAGAGCGATTATTCGGTTGGCTAAGGAAAGTGGATTTCTAAACCCTTGTTAAGCGTATGAAATTCGTGTATTTTCTTGTGTGATGTTTGAGAATGGTTTGGAGGCTTATTGCAATTTGTTGGTGTTGTATCACGGTTGTATTGTTGTAAATTATGTCTTATTATCAAAATTGTTATCTCCTCGTTTTCCTTTGAGCATGTCATTTACATTAATCTTATACATGGTTGTGGTAAGAGTTATGTGATAAGAGGATGTACCATTTTGAGGGTCGTATCACGCGCCACGATGAATATTATATTTCGAGGGACGTGTTGCGCGCCGCGGCAGTTACTATTATCGAGGGTAGTGTTGCGCGCTGCGACAGATGCATGGATAGATATGTCCCCCATGGGTTCCAGACTGAGAGACAGCGGGTGTGTATCATTAGGTCAGACATGCATCACTATATTTGACACTGGATTTCACGGCATTGCACAATTTGATCATTGAAGAACTTGAACTTGTGTTTTGCAGATTTTGTGAGTGATTTTCTATGAAGTTTGTGGCTGACGAATATTGAATTATTAATGAAAATTGTAATATGTTAGTGTATTGCTATTGAGTTGGTTGCTTGTGAACTGTTTGGTTGGACTGGTGTTATGCAGGTTATAATGTAGAGGTTCGGATAGGGTGTAAGGAGTACTCGTATTGTGTTCTCTTATCTTGTGTTTAGAGGTTTGCTTGTTGGTACCGTGTGGTTTGGTACTCAGCCCTTGCTTCTACAAATTTTTGTAGGTTATGAGCCCGGATCTTCATGTCGTTCCATTCTCTTCGTTTCCGAGACATCTTGTGAAGAATTGTGAGGTAGTTGTTTGTCATCCCAGCGAACCTTCCTATTCCTGTTTATGACTTTGTTTTTACTTGAAAGACAACATCATGTTAGACCGTGTATCTTATTTTAGTTTTGTTATTTACATTAGAGGTTTGTGCATGTGACAACCAGGTTTTGGGGATTGAATTAAGTAGAATCGTTTTTGTATCGGTAATTGTTATCAGACTTTGGTTTTATTTTCGTATTTTATCAAAATTATTGGGTTAGGCTGATTTGTCTTGGTGGGATAAGACGAGTGTCATCACACCCATTTTTGGATCGTGACACGTCGCTAAGCCTATCTACAAATACATTTTAATTTTTTCAAGAATTGTTTTTAATCTGACTTTTATTAATGATCTTGTTCTTATAATTTCATGCAAAAAAGAAACAAATCAATTATTCTCTTTTATATATAATTTATTTTGTATTATCCTTATTAGAAGTAAAGATAATTACACAAAGCAATCTTTGTTGATAGATTTTGCATTACAAGATTCAAGTAGAGGACAATTAAGCTACACATAAATATATTTGGTTAGAAATATTTTTTTGATGTGCTTTTAAGATGTCACAAATTAAAACACTAAGTAAGGGGATTATGAAGGTATAAAGTTGAAAGGTATAGGTATTACTTATAAGTATTAATTAAGTATAGAGGTTATGAAAGATGAACAAGTGTGTGTTTATGATAAAAATTAAATTAAAATAAATATATTAAAATAAGAGAAAAATTTATAAAAAAGTTACTTAATTTTTTAATAAACAAAAGTATGTTTAAGTAAAATACTCCACCATTTTTATAGTTTAATTTTATTATATGACATATTTTATTTTTACCCCATTTTAAAAGTTTCAAATTAATTAAAAGTCTCCAAATATACTTCTACTAATAAACATTATTTTTAGTAATTACTATTATTTTGAATAATATATACTTTTTCTCTTATTTTATATTATTATAGAAGAGAAACATATTAAGAGAAAAATTTATTAAAAATAAATTTAAAAAGGGACATAGAATTAAAAAGTTAATCAAAAGGAATAGAAAAAATTTTAAATCGTCAAAAAAAAAGTAATCTCTACGAATGTTTTAAAATAAAATTAAAAAATAGTTAAATTTTTTGTTGATTAAATTCTCAAAAATGTGAAACAACTTTTTAGCCTATAAATAATTTCTATATATAAATAATATGATAAATCATACAACATTAAAATTATGTATTTTTACCATACCATTGTTATGTGATTGTGAGATATAAAATTGTAAGATGATCGATTTATTTGATTCTTAGCTATATAACATGTTTGTATTTAATATTTAGTATTTTATTTACTTTTTATTGAGATGTGATTAATTTTTTTTTACTTATATTTATTATATATTTGTATAACATTTTTTATAGCTAGTGAGGAGGAAGATAATTGTTAGACGAAATTAAAAAAAAAATATATTGACGTTTTTTCAATTAACTAATTAAGTTGATAAGGAACCAATCGGCTCTCGTAGCATTGGAGGTTTAACCGGAGAACTATAAACAATCCTTGAAATAATAACAACAAAAGGACATAAAATTATAGTTACTAATCAAGCGAAAATATTAAGAATATTTAGTTATATATGATTTGAAGAGGAAAGAAGAATCATGTTCTCAACATAACATTATTCAATTCTTCAAAATTTACAAAGTGAATAAAAACAATCAGCGTCTTTAGAAACTACAAGAATAAGAAAAAAAATCTCAAAAAGCTAAAAAGAGAAGCAAAAGAGAAAATGAACAAATTATTTTTTCTATAAAAAAAATCATGATTTGTATCATCAATAATCCAAACTAATAATATCCAATGTATAATTACAATAGAACAAAAGTGACAATGATAATTAGACATGTCAAATTATTTTACCTCACAAATCAAACTATGCAAAATATCTAACATTTTTCATTGTACATCCCTCTCCTGCTAAAATCAGATCAAAGAAGACAAAAATTAACAAATCAAAGAAACAAAAAATGAAGAATAAGAAAAATAAAAATAAAATGACCATCATACATGTCTCAAATTGAATTTTTATAGGTGTAATATTTAGGAGTTATAGTTTTTTATATTAAATAATTTGAAGGATATGAATATAAAAGAAAAAAAACAATCAGTGTTGTTAGAAACTATAAAAATAAGAAAAAATCTCAAAAAACTACAAAGAGAAGCAAAAGAGAAAACGAACAAATTATTTTTTCTTAAAAAAATCATGATTTGTACCATCCACAATCCAAACTAATATATCAAATGTATAATTAGAATAGAACAAAAGTGACAATGATAATTAGACATGTCAAATTATTTTACCTCACAAAATCAAACTATGCAAAATATCTAACATTTTTCATTATATATCCCTCTCTTGCGAAAATCAGATCAAAAAAGACAAAAAAATTAACAAATCAAAGAAACAAAAAATGAAGAATAAGGAAAATAAAAATAAAATGGCCATCATATATGTTTCAAAGTGGTTTTTTATAGGTGTAATATTTAGGAGTTATAATTTTTTATATCAAATAATTTGAAGGTTATGAATATGAAAGGTTAGGAGTTATATATATATATATATTATTGTTAAATTGAAAGGTTAAGAGTTATATATATTATTAAAAAACTAGGAGGTGTAATGCTTTTATATATATATATATATATATATATGTATGTATGTATATATATATATATAATATTGTGGGAATTTTTTTTAAAAAGCCCTAATTTTTTTTATAAAAAATAAATATTTTTTTTTATCATTGAGACATGTCACATAGGCGGGATAAAGATCCTTATATATATATATATATACACACTTAATTGTATGTCTCACATATTTGATTCTTCTCCCTCTTCCGCAACAAATTTGAAACACATCGACTCATTTTGTTTTGGTGCAGATACAGGTGGAAATTACTCCATTCAAATAATAGTTGTCCATTAATTTAAAGCACAAATTAAGAAATAGTAAATGATAAGATTAATTTATCAAATCACCCTTATTAATTATAAGTCATCTAAACATCTAAAAAATAAATAGTATTTAATAGTAATGATAAAAAAGACAAAATGATGATATATTGAGATGACTCTTCCTTTTATCTTTTTATTTATTATGCATGGTGAATCGTTATACATAATATGCCCAATGACGTAAGCGATCAATCCGTAACAAAACAACTTAAAAGATAGAGAGTATTGTTAATCTCTTAATCATAAATTTTTATAAAATGGATAAGTATTGTTCGGCATTGCTAAATAACATTATTGATAAGTAAAGATAGACGATGAGAGTAAGTACCTCTTTGGAAAGTCCATCCTAGTAATTAAATTTGGTGTAATTACATTGTCTGTCCTGTTTGGTTTGACATATAACATGTAATTGACATAGTGTAATTGCACTCTCTAATTCACAGAGAGATATTGTGAATTGTTGATAATTACATGATATAATTACAAACTTATTACTTTTTGTTTTTGTTTTAAGTTTTTTCCATTTTGATGTATTTTATTATTTTATATTATTTTTGATTTCATTATTCTAACATTTTAAAAATATTTTTTTAATATTAATTTTATTTCATTTACTTCTTATTCTCAAATCTTACTTCATGAGATTTCATGTGGCATTACGAGCTATTTTAAATTAAACTTAAATGATTATCTTTTTGTCAAATATTTTATAATTTTATAATATTGTATTTATAATATTAATTTTTTTTTGTCAAACATGCATTCATGATGTTCACAAAAATTTGTACTTTAAATTTTTATGATTAACTTAATTAAAATATACTAAATTAAAAACACAAAATCAGTTATTTTTTATAATGTTAATTAAAAACATATATTTATTATAATATTTAATTTAATATTATATATATATAATTACAGTGCGACAAACTAAAAATAAGTTATCACCAAAAAAAAGATTATTTTTGAGTTGAAAGAAAAGTTTTAGGATATATTTGACTGCTTTTCCCATAAAAGAAAGTGCAATGAATCTAGAGTGAGAAAGTATAGTGCAAAGATTTAGGAATATCCTCGATCAACAGAGAGAGAGAGAAAAGGATTGAAGAAATTTGGAGGAGAATTGACCTTCGATTGTGAAGAATCAATGGCTTCAGAGACTGATAGAAAAGCAGCAACAGAGTCTACTAAGACAAGCACAGTTCCACCATTGAAGCCCACATGGGTTCTCCCATACAGAACTGAAAGACTTCAGCAGCTTTACAGTATAGGAAAAAAATTAGGGCAAGGCCAATTTGGTACCACCCATTTATGTACAGAAAAATCAACTACTACTCTTTATGCTTGCAAGACTATACCAAAGAAGAAGTTGATTTGTAAGGAGGATTATGAGGATGTTTGGAGGGAGATTCAGATAATGCACCATTTATCTGAGCACCCAAATGTTGTCAGGATAAAGGGTACTTATGAGGATACCCTATATGTGCACATAGTTATGGAGCTTTGTGCTGGTGGAGAGCTTTTTGATAGGATCGTTGAGAAGGGGCATTACAGTGAAAGGGAAGCTGCGAAGCTTATTAAAACTATTGTTGGAGTGGTTGAAGGTTGTCATTCGCTAGGGGTCATGCATAGAGACCTCAAACCTGAGAATTTCTTGTTTCTCAGTTCAGATGAAGATGCTGCTCTCAAGGCCACTGATTTTGGTCTCTCTGTTTTTTACAAGCCAGGTTTTTCTTTTTGATATCAACTTTTGAATTTTATTATCGTCATTTCGATTGTGGACCTGCAAATTGGAGTTAATTTAAGAGGGTTCAAGCTTTTGTTTGTTTGTCTGTACAGTTGGATGTTTTCTAGGTCAGGCAAAGATAGCAACATCTCTTCTTTCCCCTCTTTAACCATTGTTATTAGCTTCTTTGAAGAAAAAAAAACTTGTGTTCTATCTCTGTTAATTGTTTCTACTTGTTCGGATTTAATGGACATAGTGATTCCAAGTTTCATCGTATGAATGGGTTCTGGATTCTTATCTAACAATCGGTTTGGGAATAAACTTTTCCTTATAGCTGGAAAATACTTAGCATTATGTAGCATTGTGATTTTCACTTAGTGTTGATTATTATAGTTAGGTGCTTAAGTTTCCTGGTTATTATTTCTTTAGAAATAACTAGTACTTGTGACTTGGTTTGTTTCAGGTAGAACATAGTATCAGTGCTCCATTGCTGTAAATATAACTTTTTTTTGCTAGGATTATGTCCCCTTTTACAAATACTTAGCAACAAGGTGGCTTATGTGAACTTTCTATTTAGGTTTCCTCTCAAAATTTTAGGATTGCTTTTTGTTGTTTTCATGAATGTGAAGATGACTTGTCTTGTTGTTCCCCTTCAGATAGATTGCTGGCTCTGTAGGTTTTTCTGATGATCTATTTATTATGTTGTCTTCATTAGTATTTGGTGGGTTCATATATAGCATGTAGTTATTTCATTCGACTAGATCTTGCTAAAGAGAGAAGGTTTTAGTTTTACATATTTTCTTTTGGAGGTTCTGTCATGTTATGCTTATATCCTTGATTGTCTATCTGATTTAGTGTTTACTTTGGTTTTGTGAAATAACCTAACAACCTTTCTGATGTTGCATGCCTCGTATCTTTGGAGACTTAGTGAAGTATGCCTTCCAGTAAGCGAGATGCTGACCATTCTAGTTCTTGTTCCATTATCATTTCTGATCTATCTAAAGAGACACATTGGCCCCTTTATTATTTATTATGATTAGGTGAAATGTTTTCCGATGTGGTTGGAAGTCCTTACTATGTTGCACCTGAGGTTTTACGCAAGCATTATGGACCTGAATCTGATGTATGGAGCGCAGGAGTTATTTTGTACATATTACTTAGTGGTGTTCCACCTTTTTGGGCAGGTATCTTGCTCCCCTCCCTTTCAAAGTTTTCCTGTTTCTGTTTTAGACTTCGTGTTGGTGTTTTAAATATCTTGACATTCATTTGTTCCTCTTGATTACAGAAACTGAGATGGGAATATTCCGCCAGATATTGCAAGCAAAATTAGACTTTGAATCTGAACCATGGCCTGGAATTTCAGATAGTGCCAAGGATTTGATACGTAAAATGCTTGACAGGAATCCAAAGAGGAGGTTAACTGCCCATGAAGTTTTGTGTATGTTCCTATTCATGCTAAGGTTTAACTACAACATGTATTTGGTATTGTTTCTAGAAAATGTCAACTCTTTACTGCTTTCCTTCTAGAAGTTGGATTTTGGGAAGAACTTGTAAGGAGCTTAATTTCTTCTTTTCTTGTGTCTCTCAGGCCATCCATGGATTGTGGATGACACAATAGCCCCTGATAAACCTCTCGACTCTGCAGTTCTTTCACGCCTCAAGCAATTTTCTGCAATGAACAAACTTAAGAAGATGGCTCTGCGAGTAAGATTTTGACAATGTTGTCTACCTATCATAGTTTATTGCTTTTTCGCAAAAAAGTCCCGTTTACCTTGAAAGAACATACCGTAATGATATGTCCCATTCTTCTACTCTTTTCCGGAAGATGATTAACACTGAATACTAGAGGGTTTATTTGAAAGGGTTGCAGGAGGATTACAATAAGCTATTAGACTTTCTAGAAAGATGGCTTCAGTCTCACTGATGATGAAACTGAAGTAAGATCTATACTGTAATAACAAATGATACCTGTACAGTAGAGCAGAATGTAGGCCCACCCGCCCGTCTAAGGGCCAGACAATCCACATAAAAAGGAAAAAAGGTACAAATGTGACACTTGGAGAATTCAGTTGTTCAGGGGTGTGGATTGAGAAAAATATCATGTCAATTTGTTGTAAATGCATTAAACTAATTATGCTCGTACTATAAGACTAGATTGGCTATAGCCGACGCTGGGCATGGACCCAACATGCCTGGTTTAATAATACAACTTAAACAGTTTAACTACATATATCCAAATGTCTCTTTGTTGACATGAACATGCCATTTTTTTATATACTAGTCTGAAGGAGATAAGCTTATATACCTTTGTTTAATATTGATTCTGTTGTTCCAGTCTTGCATAGATCAAGATACATAAATATAGATGAACCCAAATATTAATTCATACTGAAGATTAAACAGATAATAATAAGCAATAGTCTATGTATAATGTGAGCTTATTTTACTTTACGAAGTGCAACTACCATTTAGGTACTAGTTCTTATAGCACCTCTTATTACCAGTATCTCGAACATAAACAATCTCTTAGAGATAACATTCAGATTTAGTACCTGAGTGTGAGCCAACATATGGATGATACAACATACTTCTTCTGTTTCTTCTTGGATTTGCATCAGTTCTTTTAGAACCTATTCAGCTGTTCACTGAGATGATTAATCCAAACAGTGTCGAGGCAGCGCAGACCACGAGGTGTCGCAATATATCCAACAACACCAAGAAGCTATAGAAAGCAAGCAGACAATAGAGAGAAATTTAATTCCTGATCTCCCGATAATGTGAGCTTCTTGCAGATCACAATAGCAGCTTCTTCTCCATACTTGCCATTCTTTTCTACTTGAACTCTAAAAAACTCCTATTTTACATTTGGAATCTTTTTGATTGTTTGCTCCATGTCTTAACCCCGATATAAAACCTTAAGCAAAAATCTCAGATTCCTAAATGAAAATATAAACTAAAAGAAATTTTATACATGAAACACTTCAGCATAGCAAAGAAGAGTCAATGTGAAATCTACTTTTAGAGATATCACCGAAGCATGTCCTTGTGCTGAAGGCTTCATTCACTGATATCATGAGCTTGACATCATATAAAGCTTTTAGTGATCATAAAAAATTAATTGCTTAGCTTATATATGAATAACCAAAGTAAGAATTCTCGTCAAAATAATAGTTTCCCTTGTATGGAGAAGTTGGTGCAATTTATCACATTTTATTTATCATTTAGTATATCCGCATTCCAATGCACTTTCTTATAATGAAACCAATTGATCAAACAATTTTTTTCAATATCGAATTAGCAAATGAACGATGAAATCTTCGAATTACAAGGATGGGTTCCTTTTGCCTCAGAGCAGAGATATGTATCAGGGCTCTCTCTTTTATATATAGTACAAACAGAAAGACAACCAATTCTTTTTGGTGGAAGAAAAATCTAACATACAAACCGTAAACTAGCTTGAACCTAATTTCTAGACTGATCTTCAAACTCTTAACCCAAAAGCTCACCTTCAGCACATGAAAGCAAAATCCACAATAACTACAACAGAATACTACTACTAGAAACAACACATAGTAACAAAAATTGATATACAAGAAAAAACTCAACATATAGTAACAGTAATGATAGAACAAGCAACTACAAGAATAATACTACCACTGATAGTATGAAAGAATAGGTGAGACAACTCTCAAGTACCTATTAGCCTGTAAAATTTATCCGTGTCCTCTATAGCCTCCAATCGAAGGTCATTTCTTTGGTAAGTTGGAGTTGCGCCATGTTTGTCTAATCCTCTTTCAATATTTCTTCAGCCTGCCTCTACCTTTTCTGAAACCATCCATAAGCAACTTCTCACACCTCCGCATTGGCACATTTGTGAATCTCCTCTTCACATGTCCAAACCATCTCAGTCTCGCTTTCCGCATCTTGTCCTCCACCAAGGACGCTCCCACCTTGTCCGGAATATCTTCATTTCTAATCATACCTCTCCTAGTAAGCCCATACATCATTAGAGATTTATTTATTTAAATTAAAAGGTAAAGTGAGCTTTCTTGAGAATTTTGAGTATTAAACTAATAACAGTGTGCGACGAAGTACATTTTGGACAATAGAATATTGAAAAGTATTCTGTGCAAAAAATATTTCAACTTCAGGAAAGTGAACTCAATCTTGGGACAACCTAAAATTGGAAGTTCGACAGTTAATTTTGGATAGAGGAAGTGCCATTTTATCACAAACGAAGACTATAATTTATGTTCTTTTACTTTGAAGTACATTCCATGCCAAGTACCCAAGCATAAATTCAGAAAGAATGCAACTCAACTTCTACTCTTCCGACCCTCGTCATCATATTTTCCTTCTTACAGTAGGACATTTACTTACTGTTCAGATTTTCTAATCTATTAATGAAAATAAGACATTGTCTGTCTTTAGAATATTATTTTCTATGAACAGATTTTTTGCACCATATTTCCTTTTAAATAACTTCATGATGAAAACAGTCCTCTGGAAATTGGAAGTGGTAGTTGGATATGTGCCATTTATTGAAGGATTATTGCTCTTCTTATGGCTATCCCTATCCCAGAATGATTAGCTTATGGTCCAGGAGAAGTGGCCAATGTTATGCAGTTTTTCATGGTATTTGTATCTTTTCATACATGTGAATATATTACTGTCCCTAGTTGTGTTTGTCATATCGTGCATCCTCTTGTGCTTCTGGTAGAGATGGTCACATCGAGATGGGCAAGCTTAAGGGGTCTTTGTTTTGGCACATGACTGTCTTTGCATGGGATTATCTTAATATTTTGGTCACCTTGACATCTCCCCTTGAATATGTTGAGTCATTTCGCCCATCACTAAGGAAAACAGAAACAGACTAAGGGTTGATCCTTGGTGCAATCCCATCATAATTGGAGAGTTTTCTAAGTCACCTCTATCTGTTCTTTCCAGATCTTGACTCCATCATACATGTTCTTAGTTGCCCTAATGTAAGCAACAGGTACACCTTTAGACTTCAAACATCTCTATAGAACCTCCCTAGAAACTTTATCATACTCCTTTTCTTGGTCAATGAACACCATGTTTAAGTCTGTCTTCCTATTCCTATACCACTTCAACAATCTCCTTACACGGTGAATAACACCTTTAGTCGAGTGTCCCGACATGAATTTGTTGAGATACCTCAATGTCCTCAGAGTGGGAAGAGTTCTACACAATGTGTCTCCAAGAAGAAACTGCTATAACAAAAGAACCTGGTCCTATCAAGATATAACTATACTGTTCTTGGGTTGTAATATAGTTTTTTGTGCGGTTCCGAGACAAGATCTTGATTACACTCTTAGTTGATTGTAGTAGGTGTTGTTTTGTGTCGTAAAGAAAATTTATTGACTGGATGGAGTCATTGAAGAAAAGTATAGAAGAGGGTTGAGGTAGGGACTGTTGGGAATAGTTCCTTAGGTACAACAGTGGTTGTAATCTTTAGTTGGTCGAGATAAGTGAAGACGTTGGGAAGTTTCCACGCTAAAATACTTGTGTTGGTTTACATACTCCACACTTTTTCTTGTGCAGTTTTTGAAAGAACCCTATTTGTTTAGGCTGTTAGTTGCAGCTAAACTAACAGAATCCAAAGTTGTTCTCGGAAATAGACTGTCTCCTCCTCATTATCTCGACCATCCTCTCTCAAACTTTCATGATGTGGCTTAGTCGTTTGATACCCTTATAGTTATTACAATTTTGAGTAGTACACTTGTTTTATACAACACAAATTGTACTCCATCTCTATTCCTATGACATTCCAGCCATCCTAAAAATGACACTAAACAACCCAGTTAGCTACCCCATACCTACTCGCGTGCGGCCTGCATTCTTCCAAAATTTCACTATGATCTCGTCGGGCCGTCGGTCTGCCCCTCCTTATTCTACTATTGCCCCCCTTGACCTCTGCAGACTTTATGCACCTACAATAGCCAAAATCCTACGACTCTCGGAATGCTATAACTCCCGCCCTGCAAAGTATCTCTGTCCCTCTCCTCATTCAAGAGCTTATGTAAATACGTTTGCGATCTCCGTCTAATGTGAGCCTCTTCTATCAATATTTCTCCATTCTCATCTTTGATGTACTTGTCTTTTGTGTTACTTGAATTCTCAATTAATGATGATCTTTCTGACACCTACATGAGTATCGTCATTGATAGACTAATATGCAGTATTGTGCTGGTGTTGATAGCTTAAGTGGATTAGGGGAACACAAAAATTAATTTTCCCATTTATCATTTTGCAAACATAGACTGTCTAAAATAGATTTGGTCCATCCTTTTTATGAAGTTGACATATACCTTCAGCTTATAACATGCCAGTATTATATATAGGAAATATGTCTAGCACTTTACTGGCAGAGTTAATGGCCATTAAGTCTTTGGAATTTATGCCGGTATTTGTTCATCCATTGACAGAATCACTTGCCTAGCATTTGGATATCGTGATCGGTGATCCTAACCTTTTGAAATTTCATTATATAATCAGAGATATCACCTTTGGTTCCTGCAATACTTGTAGAAGTTTGTCATAGACTTCTATTCTAGTTTTGTATAAAATTTGCTGGCCCTATTCTTCATTTCATCTCAAGTTAGATGCCATAATTGCCAACAGAAAAATGGTATGATTTTTATTTTCCCTTTTAGCTTAGTTGCATTTGCTTGGTCATTCTTGCTTTCTAATTTTCTGAACCTTGTTCCGCTCTTGTTGAGAGATTATATCCTACTGTACAGTCATTCAATCTAATCCTGAAAGTTATATAAATAAATTCTAATATACTGAAAGAAAATTCAAAACAGAGAATACCTGACTCGTCATATTTTTTTTTCCTTCTGTTTACTTTTTGGTCCATGAAAGTCTTGCCTTATTTATTTCGTCCCGTATTTTCCCTACCTCTAACAGCTGTCCAGCTTGGCTTTGACATTTGGCGCAGCGGAGCCACCTAAACAAACAAAAGATCCAAATTTACCAAAGAACTATTAAATTGGTTTAAGTATGTCATCGGCAATATATTGAAGTATGCCCCTGAACAATTAAAAAGGTTCAATATATACCCTTGAGCAATAATAAATGTCGGAATATACCTGTACATGGTGACCAATTTACAATATGATTGAAACCTGTTAGTGGAAGAGGTATATTTGAGACAAATGGTAACAGTGTCGGCCCTGATGCTCATCAAAGGATGGTATTAAACAAATCAAACATTATGGTCATAGGTATATATTTTTACTTTTCCCAAAAAAATTTGTTGGAATTGTATGTGGATAACTGAAATTGTAGTCATCATCCATTCTAATTTCGTCTCTAATTGAAAATTGTTACTCTCTACGTTCATTTTGTGACTGGTGTTTGACTCAACACGAGTTTAAGCAAGACTTTTGAGATATTCCAAAAATATCTGTAAAGCTTGTAGTCTTAAATAAGACATGACATTTCTATGACTGTAAGAGCATGTCATTAAGGGTGAAATTTTAAGTTAAACGCGTCAAAATTTTGGAAAATATAGAAAGGTGTTTTTTTCGAAATAGGGTAAATAAGAAAGACTGCCATATAAAATGAAACTGACGGAGTATTTATTTTTTGTTCTACTCATCATCTCTTGTTGCTAATAGGTGATTGCGGAGAGGCTATCAGAAGAAGAAATTGGTGGTCTCAAGGAGCTATTCAAAATGATAGATACAGACAATAGTGGAACAATCAGCTTTGATGAACTAAAAGAGGGTTTAAGACGAGTAGGTTCTGAACTAATGGAGTCTGAGATCAAGGATCTTATGGATGCAGTAAGAACTCTCCTTGTCATGTTACTAATTCACTGTTGTGTCTCTGAAATATGTCCACCTGGTCCTACTGACTCACTTATGTGCACTTATATACTTCTGTCGGTGAATTTGAGTTTATGGCATCACACATGACATGGTGTATTTGTCAGGCAGACATTGACAACAGTGGAACAATAGACTATGGGGAGTTTCTTGCTGCTACTGTGCACTTAAACAAGTTTGAAAGAGAAGAGAATCTTGTATCAGCGTTCTCTTTCTTCGACAAAGATGGCAGTGGATACATAACTATTGATGAGCTTCAGCATGCTTGCAAAGAATTTGGTCTAAGTGAGCTTAATCTCGATGAAATGATCAAAGATATTGATCAAGATAATGTAAGTTCTATTATCTGCAAGTTTTGTGTCCATGTGCGTGTATAAGGCGCAATGGACATATGTTATTTTGCATAGAAACAACTACAACATACCTAGTGAAATCCCACAAGTGGGGTCTAGGGAGGGTGGTGCATAGAAACATCCTCATTGCCGCTACTTAATGTGGGTTTTTGACTGGCCAACACTCTCAGTCCTTCACATAGAAACATTGAATCGGAAAAAAAGAAAATTACCATGTGTTTTAGTCTTTTAGATTTGATGGAGTTGCCTCTTTTTTGTTATGTTCCTTCTTAATCAAGAGAGGGACTGTTTTGTAAATGAAATTTGTAATGGACAGTACTGTGTGATGCCTAGTACTATCACAAACCACCCCACCGTCCATCAAAGAGAAGAAGTAGAGGAAAATGCTTCCTCCTCATCTGACATATTTGTTCTTTCTTTTATTTTATGTTTTTCATCAGAAGACCTGAGTGACCATTAATGACCTCAGTATCGTTCCTTTCTCATGTTAGAGAGAGTATGCAGTGTTACTGCCATATGCGCTGGAGAGCCTTATCGCACCTTCAGATGATGACACCACACTCATAACTGATCTAATCAAACCATTCTCTGTGTTTTCCTTATAAATTTTAATTGACTAGTTATTGCTTGTCTCAGACCTGTCTCTTATTTCCATGTCAATCTCTCTACTATATAGCAACGGCGTACCAGTAACTTTTCTTATTCCTTTGACATTTTTAGTTGCCTCGACTTACAACCTTCTCGTTCTTTGTACTTTTTCTCTTTTGAGCTTCTCTTTTGTTTTCTTTTAAAGATCTTTCAAAAGATTAGGGTAAAGAAAGTGACAGAATTCAGTTTAAATTTTTCGGTATCAAGGTTTTAAAATCTTATGATTGACTTTTCTAATCTACATTTTGTCATTGAAATAGTGGGTCAAGTGTGTAAGTCTGTAGCATCCAGCAAATATCTCCAGTTCTTTGCATTTTTAATCAAGTTTATTCGTTTTTGTTGAAACATCAAGTTGTACTAAGTTTCTTCTTGAGGTCCATGAGTTGGTGATTCACCTATGTTTTTCAAGCTACTTTTGCACTATAGCTCTGCCCTTCTTTGTGTAGTTTAAATACTGCTACTTCAGAGAAGGTCAAAGCATAGTCGGTCTGTTGCAAATTGAATTTAGTGGCTTTACTTTGAACTGTGCCAACATATGTCCCCTTTTCCTTTAAGGGAGTTGCCTCATTTTCTAATGAAGGAGTACCTTGCCTCTTGTATACAACCAAATGTTTTATGAATCCCATGTTGATACTTATAAACTTCTAACGCCCAAAGAAGGTTCGTCATTAGCAAATACCTCACACATGATCCCACTTGTCATAATGGAATCCACATCTAAACTCACTTAATCATTTGATCTCAATATTTTGTCTTTTCTTTTTCTCCCCTTTGCCCTCCCCCTTTTTTTCTTGTTGCTTAGTAGAGGAATGGAGGGGTTGTGGGGGTGGGGTTGGGGGTTGGGGGGGGGGGCAGTATCTTACCAACCAAAACTTTTCTCAACACTAGTTTTAGAAAAACTTGTTATATTTAAAACTGATGCACTAATCTAAACAGCTAGGCACATTATCTGAAGGATGTTAGCATCTGCATGTTTCTTTGATAAGTAACATTGACTTCTTTATCTATATAAATATATGTTAAGTTGAGAATATCATTTTTTTGATATTTATTAAAATGTATGAGCATGTGAAACAGTCCTGTAATGGTGGATGAGAAGGGTTTCCTTTTCTTGAAGGAACTCGAAACTTGTTATTAGTAGTGATTCTTGGAGTGTTAACTCACCAGTGTTCCCCCTCTCACTCGCTACTTCTAAAGTATGCATCATAGAGTAATATTGATAAAGTGTGATGATGTTCTAGACTCTCATTTATGTTTTGATCAATTCTAAGATTTTGAAAGATAGCATTCCGCATCTTTGTCCTGGGTTAATCAAAAAACAAAAGGCTAGTGTATTTTACTTACTATGTTTGTTTGATCCAAACTAGTCTGTTTAGCATGGTGATGTTGTGAAACTGTATAGATATTCATTTGTTCTCTTGATTCACATTTGTTAATTGAATTGGAAATTAAGATTTCTGTGGCCATCCTTTTGCATCCCTGCTATTCTAAGCTGTCTCTACTGCACTCAGTAAGACTTGGTCTGATAGTGGTTGAAATTGCAGGATGGACAAATAGATTATGGGGAATTTGCGGCAATGATGAGGAAGGGCAATAGTGGAGGTGTTGGAAGGAGGACCATGAGAAACACTTTGAATTTGGGAGAAGCCCTTGGACTTGTAGAGAGTAAAGAAGAAGATGTATGACCCATCACTAATCAAAATGTACTCTGCATCAAACTTTCTATACTAGTTGCTTTATGACATGTAGCTCCCTCCAGCATATAATATCACCATTACGAGATTTAGATTGCTTTGTCTCACCTTCATCTCTTCCCATGTTCTATTGATGTCTGCCTTTTTGCCATATCACATTTGATTGGGGGTAGGGGTGTTTCTGCTTAACCCACCTTCGAATTTGTCCTTGTAGGTATACCTATACCTTCTGAATACTTCCAAATTAAATGGAAACTTCTTCTCCCCCACCCCGCCCCTCCTTTCTTTTTTTTGGGGGTGGGGGTGGGGGGATGTACACCTATTACTCATATAGGAATCTATAAATACTTTTTCTTATTTACCGAATACAACAAAGGTTTGCAAAACATAGAAGACTTGAGAAAAAGGTGCATGGGTTCTCATTTCTTCCCATTACAAATTCTCCATTCGACGCTCCGTGCATTTCGCAGAGATGGATTTATGCCCATTAGATTTAAGACAATTAGTGGTTGTTTGGTTGGGAGTATTAGGACAAATATGTATGATATTATGTAGTAGTATATAATTAATACTTGTCATTTGGTGAGATTTAATATCATGAGATTAATCTATGTAAAGACAATTTTCCACAAATTCTCTTTATTATTTTTTTTATTTTTTGATTTTATGTTTTATATTTGTACTAGTAAATTTATTTAAATAGATTAGTTTACAAATTTATTAGTTAGAGAGTATTGTTTGTTGCAAAATAAAATCAATATAATATGTGAAAGGTGTTGTTTCACATTTACAATTGAAAAATAAATATTTCACAAAATGAAGTTTATGATCTTAATTGAATGTATTATTTGTTGATATATATGTGGTTTTCTAATTATTTATATTTTGAACAATCATAAAATTGCATACATATTTAAACTACAAACTTGCAATTCTTATGTGTAAGTGTGGATGATTTATTTGATTTTACTATTGTTTACAGTATGGTCCTAAAAGTAGATGATCTATTTTTTTTAAATCGAAAGTTGGAGTTTTATTAATTTATAAGATGACAATTATTTACCTTAAATAATTCAAGTGAGAAAATATCAAACATGACAACAAAATTGTTCATAGCTAGAAGATTATAAAAAATAATATTGCCTAACAATTATCTAGTTTGATCCAATTACATGAAATAAAAGGTCCCCAAATAATTTCAAAATATAATTACGACGAAGTTCTTTTGCAGAGTTTTAATCTAAACACAAGATGTTGAGAAGCAATGAACCAAACACTTGATAACAAATGAGCTTAATATTACTATTTTGCACTACTATTTCTTACGTGACTAATCCTTGTGTTATTAACTTTATACCGAACGACCCCAAGGCATTCCTTCTCCTAATTTATACCAAAAAGAAAAAATCAGAAAAGGAATAAACGTTCCGTAGATCTATGCTCGATAATAAAAAAAAATTCACCTTTCTTAATAGGAAGTGACAACACAGAAGACATCACAAAATAAATTAATTATGAGAAGTTAAAAGTAATCATATGAAATATGCATAACTTCATTATCATCATTAAAGTTGAAATTTGCTTGTAAAAGAATTTCATTTCAAGTAGGTGATATATTTCAAAATAACTTAAATTCGAGTGAGATTGAATCTAATTTGAGGCTATTTGGATAAGATTTGAGCTAGTGTTAGATTTGATTTTAGTCATCATTCATTAAATTAAAAGTTTATCAAATATATATGAGAAAAAAATATAAAGTTATTCTAATTTTTTAAAAGACATTTAACTATGTGGGAGTCCTATTACTCCACAAAAGTAATAAATACCTTAGCAAATAGACCATTTTGACTTATTTTCTCCCTATGTTTGTGAACACACATATGACACCCATGAATGTATCATTTTCCTTTCAAAAATTAATTAAAAGTTTCATCTTTCCCAAATTTTTAAAAGAGCCGTTGATTGAAGCTTTTTTTTTTTTAAAAAAATTCAGTATCTCTCTAATGAAATCAGCTCAAAAGGTAAGAATTAGTTTAAGTTTCAGTCCAAAAAAGTTAATTTGAAGTTGTCTAAGGTCTATTTTCTTTTAAATTTGAGAAATCAAGATATTTTTGTGATTAGGTTTTTGAGGAAAAATATTCCTTAACAAATGGGTAATGAAGGAAAAACGAAGAGCAAATATTGTGACCGGAAGCTAATCGTCTTGATTGTTGTGGATTTTTTTTCTATTTTTGAGCATTATCAAGAATGTGAAGGATGAAAGATGTAGTTGTGTGCGATCGAAATTGCAATAGTTGTTCCACTTTACATATGTAGGTTGGTTCTTGTTGCTTTATGTTGTTGGAATAGTTATGACTTCTACAAGTTACGAGTATTTGACTGTATAAGACTTATATAATGCATTTTTATCACTTGAAAAAAGGCTCACCCTTTATGTCTATCTGATTGTGAATCATCTTAGAAAATTAAAAAAGATGTTTAGTAACTACAAATAAATGAGAAGAAGATATAGTGAAAGTAACAAAATAATCTATTAATTGGACAAAACGAGGACTTCATTTCAACATAATCAATGCTTTAATTTGCACTACAATAAGAAATTGATTTGTTTGTTACCTAACAAAAAACAGAGTATGATACCTAAAAATACCTAATAAAACAAAGTCTGATTGAAACAAAAAACATAAAAATATACACATTTAATTTTTTTTGTCAATATTGACAATAAAAAAATCAGAATACCCTACTTCTATGACACATGTCTTCCTACTTGAACTGGTTTGACTTTGGTTATAAGCCGTAGTTATAGATCTGATTTGGACAACTTTTTCAATCCTCATTCTTTCAAGGTTGCTATTGGTAATAGTTTTTTTCCCTTTCCATTTGAATCAATATCTTGCTGTATAGCCAATATCACTAGTAACAACATCAACCCTCTTTGTCACTCTTGTTCCGGTATTTATTACTCTTCTTCTTAGCAATCCAGGCTGCATAGTTGTCCTTGGGCGCATTTATGCGTCCAATAACAAATTTATTCCATATATAACTAATTTTGAGAGAATTTTCGGTATCGAAGTTTAGTTTTGAGAGTCTTTTGCTACCTTTCCTAAAGGTGTTATCTCTTGTTTGAAACTGTTTGATTAACGTAATTAATTTTGATAGTATCTAATTAGTAGTAAGTAGTGATAAACGAATTTTCTAAAGTATTTTCCACTTGAGTAAATTTAGTTTAAACGTAAAACAATTGTAATTTTCTGATTTGAAGTCATTTGGGTTCGATAATTCGGCTCGAAAGAGTCGTTGTACTACTTGAGTGACCACGTGCACTGCGTGTGCTTTTGGGCGCAACAAGTTTTTTGCGCCACTACCGGGGACTTTCAAGTCAACAAATATCTAATTTTTGAGTGTCTAAATTATTTCTACAAGTGTTGACAACTTGATCTTGGCTCCCCATTTCGCAGGTTATGTCAGGTTTTCGCACTGGAAGACGACTAGGATTTGGTAGAGCCTCTATCTGAACCAAAAAGATTTGTTCATTACGGGAGATAGAAAAGAATACACACCCATCCTATTCCTCGTGTGGTGAGAGACTAGAGACTTCATAAGAAAATGAGGACCAAGACCCACTGAGAGTGATGACAGAAATGAAAGTGAGGGATGTGGCAATCTTCACACTACCAATGTTACCTCAAGTATTCAAAAACCTGCACCTGGTGGGAGGTTTGAATTGAAGCAGCACATGGTGCAACTATTGCATACAAGCGGGTAGTTCACTGGTCTATCTCCCGAGGACCCATGAGTGCATATTCAGAATTTCCTCGAGATCAATGACACCTACACTCCAACTGGAGTGAACTTTGATTATGTGAGGCTCACATTATTCCCCTTTTGTCTGTTGGGGTAAGAAAAAAAATGGTTGAAATTTGAGCCCACATATTCTATAACTTGGTATGATCTTGCCCGAAAGTTTTTGATAAGGTTTTTTCCATTCGGTAAAACAACAAAACGGAGAAACGACATATTGAGATTCCGAAACAAAGGAGGAGAGAACTTGTACCAAGCTTGGGATATGTTTAAGTCCCTGCTGCTAAGTTCTCCACATAACCATCAAGCTAACGAAGAGTTGGTTTATACCTTCATTGAAGGATTGGAGCCAAACACAAAAATTTTACTTGATTCAGCTGCATGTGGACAACCTTTGGAGAAGAATATGCTGTGTTGTTTACATTGATTAATAAAATTTCATAGGGTAACCCCGAGTGGAATGGTGCAGGAGCTAAACCGATCATACAGAAGACTACTGGAATATTAGAAATGGATGCAGTGACAACTTTGTCTGCACAGATCACATCAATGCAGAATATGGTGACTGCTTATTTTAGCAACATGTAACTAGGAAAACAGTAAGCTCAAGTTAATATGGTACATCAACCACAAACTTGGTGTGAAGTATGTGGAGGTGTAGATCACAGTGTTAAGGTGTGTGGAGCAAACCCAGAATTTGTTCATATTGTAGGTAATGCTCAGCGAGGAGAAAATCACCAGAGGTATGGAAATACTTACAACCTGAGTTGGCAAAACCACCCAAACTTTTCATGGGTTGGCAATCAAAACCAACATCAAGGATAGAACCAATACAGACCATAGAGTAGTGGATAACAGTACCATAAAAAAAAACCATGGTGATCAACAGGCTACAAAGCAAAGTGATATGAGTGTGGAGGACATGCTAAAATAAATCATCGCGGATCAAGATAATTTGATGGTAGATGCTCAAAACAATCAATTGGCGACTCAGAATTTTGAGAATTAGTTTTGACAATTTTCTAGTGCCCCAAATTCCCAACCACAAGGGGTTTTACCGGGAAATACCGACCCAAACTCGAAGAACGTAAATGTTGTGAGTACTCGGAGTGGTCGTCTATTAGAGGAGTTGACACCATAGGCAAAAGTTGTTGAAGAAAAAGGAAAATATGTAGGTGAAGCCAAACCAAGTGAACAAAGGGTAAATGAGGAACCAAAAGCAAAACCACCTACTCCAAACCCACAGATATTCAGAAAGCAAAAGGAGGAGGAATGTTTTGGTAAGTTCATTGAATTACTCAAGCAGGTACATGATAATTTTCCTTTGCTTTATGTGTTGCAGGACATTCCTAAGTATGCCAAATATGTGAAAGATGTGGTATCCAACAGTAGCACTCACTGAGGAGTGCAGTTTTAGGATCCAGAATAGGCTTCAGACCAAGTTGAAAGATCCAGGGAGTTTCACCATGCAGATAAAATTGGAAAATGTGTTTGAGGCAAGAGGTTTGTGTGATTTGGGCTCAAGTATCAATTTGATGCCTAATTCCATATTTCTCAAATAGGTACTAGGAAGGCTCAAAGCCACAACCATTATGTTGCATTTAGCTGATCGTTTGGTGTAAGGCCAGATGGTGCTATTGAAGATGTCTTGATTCAAGTGGAAACTCTGATTTTCCTGTGGACTTTGTCATTTTGGATTTTGATCCTGATACCAAGGTCCCAATTATTTTGAGACGCCTATTTATAGCAATGGGAGGTGCATTAATTGATGTGAAGACCGTTAGACTAACAATGAGGGTTCATGACAAGGTTGAGGTATTTGATATTTACAAGGAAATGAAGTTGTCGGCGATATATGAGGAGTTGTCAGAATCACATTCATTGATGAGGCAATGGTGACTAAATATTTTGAAGCTCAAGAATCTTTAGAGAGAGTGTTAATTGAGTAAGACATTGAGGGATATGTTCAAGCCCAAGAGTTGGCTAACGTTCAAAATGTCCCAAATGTGAGTATGTTGCGCAAGTTTGTGGAGCCATTAAACAGAGTCCTGGGACCACCTCCCGAGCTGTCAATTGAAGAAGCAACAAAGTTCGAGTTAAAGGCTCTCCCTTCTCATCTCAAGTATGCATGCTTAGGTTCCAATGAATCTTTACCCGTAATCCTTTCTTCTGCTTTGTCTGAATTTCAGATAGAGACATCTCTGAAAATGTTGAGGAAGAGAAAAAAAGTGATAGGTTGGCAGATGACTGATATACATGGCATCAACCCAGCTCTATTCATGCACATGATATTCATGATGGAAGGTTACAAGTCAATTGTGCAACCTCAGCGTAGGCTAAAACCAGTGATGAAAGATGTGGTGCCCAAGGAGATGATTCAATGGTTAGATGCTGGTATTGTATACCCAGTTTTAGACAGCAAGTGGGTCAACCCAGTTCACTGTGTGCCTAAAAAGGGAGGCATGACAGTGATCACCAATGAAAAAATGAGTTGATTCCAACTAAGACAGTGACATGATGGCAAATATGCATGGATTACAGAAAATTGAATGAAGCAACCAGAAAGGATAATTACCCAGTTCCTTTTATTGATCAGATGCTGGATAGGTTGGATGTGCAAGAATACTATCATTTTCTATATTGATATTCAGGATACAACCAAATTATGATTGCACGAGAGGACCAGGATAAAACTACATTCAGTTGCCCCTATGGGACATATGCTTTCAAGAGAATGTTGTTTGGGCTATGCAATGCTTCAGCTTCCAAAGATGCATGATGACTATCTTTCATGACATGGTTGAAGATTTTATGGAGATATTTGATGACTTCTAGTCTGTGGGGAGTCTTTTGACCGGTGCTTGGAGAATTTAGACAGTGTGCTAACTAGATGCGAAGAAACTAATCTTGTCCTAAACAGGGAAAAATGTCATTTTCTAGTGAAGGAGGGGATTGTGTTGGGACATAAGGTGTCAAAGAGAGGGCTGGAAGTTGATCGTGCCAAAGTGGAAGTAATTTAAAATCTTCCTCCTCCAGTTTTTGTTAAAGGGGTGCCGAATTTTACAGAAGATTCATCAAGGATTTCTCTAAGAATGCAAGACCCATGTTCAGTCTCCTAGAGAAGGAGATAAATTTTTCAGTCTATGAGAAATGTATGCAAGCTTTTGAAGCTTTGAAGAAGAAGCGATAGAAGCTCCATTTTTAACTTCTCCAAATTGGGAGCTTCCTTTTGAGCTGATGTGTGATGCAAGTGATGTGGCTGTGGGAGCAGCTTTGCGGAAAAGGAAAGAGAAGGTGTAATCCATATATTACGCAAGCAGAACACTGTATGCGGCCCAAACCAACTACACAGTGACTGAAAAAGAAATGCTAGCCTTGGTTTATGCTTTAAACAAGTTTATATTTTACCTAATAGGTACTAAACTTGTAATTGTACTGACCATGCAACTATCAGGTAATTGTTCAACAAGAAGGATGAAAAGTATCGGTTAATCAGGTGGATTCTATTGCTGCAAATGTTTGACATCGAGATCAAGGACCGAAGAGGTTCTGAAAAACAGATTGCAGACCACCTATCAAGATTGGAGAGTTTGTCACATGTGGGAGAGCAAGGTCAAATTAGGGAGGAATTCCCTGATGAACAACTACTGGTTCTAGAAGTAACCGAACTACCATGGTATGCGACATAATTAATTATTTGGTTAAAAGATTGTTTCTACTCGGTGAACTACACATCAAAAGAAGAGGTTGATTTATGATGCTCGATTCTACATATGGGATGAGCCTTATCTCTCAAACAAGGTCAGGACAAAATGATGAGTAGGTGTGTACCTGAGTCTGAGATGAAACAAGTGATGGATAGTTGCCACTCGTCTACATATGAGGGTCATCATGGAGTGAGCGCACTGCGCATATGGTGCTCTAATCGGGGTTTTTCTGGCCCACTTTTTTTTTTTTTACATATGATGCATGTTATGTGAAGAGTTGCGATCAATGTCAAAGGATGAGGTCTATTTCCAGAGACATGAGATGCCTTTGTACAACATATTAGAGGTTTGAAATATTTGATATTTGGGGGATCGACTTCATGGGGACATTTCCTCCATTGAATGGAAATTAGTACATACTTGTGGTTGTGGAATATGTGTCAAAGTGGGTTGAGGCAGTGTCATTACCAACCAATGATGCTAATGTGGTGTTGAAGTTTCTAAAGAAGCACATCTTCACTCGGTTTGGAACCGCTATAGCAATATTTAGTGATGGAGGGACTCACTTCATAATTTAATTGGTGAATAACATCTTAGCTAAATATGGAGTCAGGCATAAAATGACCACAACATACCACCCTCAAACAAGTGGTCAGGTAGAAGTGTCAAATCGGGAAGTGAAGTAGATTCTACAAAAAGTAGTGAATGCCCAAAGCAAAGACTGGGAATGAATCTTGATGATGCATTATGGGCATATAGGACCGCTTATAAGACACAAATTGGGACCTCCCCATATCATGTAGTGTTTGGCAAAGGTGTCACCTTCACTTGAATTGGAACATCAGGCTTACTGGGTAGTGAAGAAGTTGAACCTGGACCGCAACTAGCCAGAACAAAAAGGATGGGTAAATTACATGAATTGGTAGAATTCCGTCTCCATGCCAATGAAAATGTCAAGATCTATAAGGAGAAGACCAAACGATGGCATAATATGCATATTATTTGTCGACTTTTTTAGCCTGGGAAAAACGTATTATTATTCAACTCTAGGTTGAGGTTGTTTTCGGGTAAGTTGAAATCAAAATGGAGTGGACCATTTGAGGTGGTACGCATGACCAACCGCGACACGGTAGAGCCATGGAATGAAGGAAAGAAATTCACATTCATAATTGTGAATGGACAAAGGGTATAATATTATTTTGGACAAGAGTTTGATTTAGAAGAAGAAAGCCAGGAGTTGAGAAATGACTGAGGTGGAGCTGAGTCGTGCCATGATATTAAATCAGTTGCTACTCAATCATGGGCGAGGAAACCAGTGGAGTCCGCGACAGGAGCGCTTCGCGGACCTACTTCTACAATATAGTGGACACCAAAGTGCAAAAAGGTGAAAAGTTTGAAGGTAAGTCCGTTGGGATCGCATGGCGGATGTAGTTCATTTGGAATTAACATTGTAGGGCTTAATTTCTTGGGGAGTTCGCGACCTTTCCGCATCGCGGAATTGTTTCCCCATTTCGTTACTTCCTACATGTTTCCAAGCCAAAAAGTACAAGTCATGTATGGGACAGCTCCATGTTTTGGACCTGGTAAGTATTTTAGAATATTTTATTTAAAAATTCCGGTTTTACTCGGCTAATTGGGTAAAAACCCGACCCCTATTCCCAAATCTGTCCCTTAACTCCATTTTCCCCTATAAGTCATTTTTTTCCTCTCCCCTTCAACCTTAACCCTTTCCAAGAACAAATCTGTGTCGCGAAGTGGACATTTCTCCCCAAGTACATCACTTTTTGTGGGTCTTAATATGGAAGGCATGTGTCCTACTCTTTTGTTTCCTTTTTTAGGGATGATTCACGAAAGTTAGGGATTATTTTATGGCTCGTGGTTTGTCTAAATTGTTGATTATTGGAGATTTTCTACTTTTTTGTTGTTGTGGTTGCTTGAAAAATCTGTTGGGGCTCACTGGGATGCTAATAACAAGGAGAATTTTTTTGTGGGCAATTAATAATTGGGGGGGGGGGGTTGTGAACTTGAGTAACAAATTGGTAAGGAGGGAAGTGCTTGAAATAGTGAAATTGTTTGTTGGTTCGAAGTCTTGAGTAGAACCTAAATTGTTTGGGTTTGGATGTTTCAGATGGGGTGAATTGTGTGAATCATATGCTGTAAATGATATTGGAAAGTCTGAGTACCGTATGGTTTGTGAAGTTGTGGTCGAGAGTAAGTGTTGGATTGCCCTCCATAATTGAATCTCAATAAATGATATGAATTATGTCTAATTGCAGGTTAACATGTCTAGCACAAAGGTCGGGAAAAATGCTAGCGTCTAGCAGCAGTTAAAGAGTCAGGACGGTCACCACTATTCCCATGGTACCCGTAGTCCCAAGAGGACACACTCAACGCTATGGGGACAAGGCAATCACGTTAGAGGGATAGAAGTGGTATAAATCACAGGCAGAAGCCAAATACTTCTCCAATGTTGTGATTGAGGATGTCAATTTAGAGAGGGAGTTTCCACATATTATGTGTCTCCTATAAGAACTGCATATAGGTTTCATCTTTCAGGATCCATCAGAGTGCAATGTTAGTATGGTGCGGGAATACTATGCAAAATGGAAGCCCAATGCCTGGTCTCACTTTGTGATAGTGCGGGGGGTGGAGGTTTATCTAACACCTTCAACGATAAATCGAATATTGGGGACTTTAGATGCCCCTTCTAATGTTCTCGAGGGGATCAATTTTAGTCCTCATAATCAACAAATTTGATATTCTTTTTGTGGGGCACAATCCACTGTAAAGTGGATTCGACATGGACATCGTGGCTATCAACAATCCTATCCTTATGCTCATTTGAATTAGGAAGACCTAGTGTGGTTAAAAATTGTCATGAATTGCTTGATACCTGGGTTTCATTTAACCAACAGGATGAGAGACCGAGTTTGCTTAGTCTATGGACCTACCTATCAATGTAGGAGCGGTGCTAAAATCGTCTATGCACAAGGCCAGAGTTTATTGAGGTAGAAGGCATGCTTTTGGGAGACTAATCACTATTTTGTGCAAACAAGCTGGAATTCTGGAGGCACATGCCACATGTCTTCCTACTTGATGAACTGGTTTTGCTTTGTAACATATTTTCCTACTTTTTCAATCCTCATTCTTTCAAGGTTGCTTCTGGTAATAGTTTTTTCCCCTTCCATTTAAATCAATATCTTGGTGTGTAGCCAATATCACTAGTAACAGCATCAATCCTCTTTGTCACTCTTGTTACATTAATTATTACTCTTCTACTTAGCAATCCAGGTTTCATAGGTTATCTTGGGCGTATTTATGCACCCAATAACCAATTTATCCGGGCGTATTTATGCACCCAATAACCAATTTATCCCATATATATAGCTAAGTTTGATAACATTTCCAGTTTCGAAGTTTAGTTTTGAGAATCTTTTGATGCCACTTCATTTAACAATGTGATTAGATGTTTCAGGGCGAAGATCAAAGAAAAACAAGCCAAAATAGGACACCTAGACAAAGATTAGAAAATTGAAGACAAAGTTGCGGAGAAAATGAGCAAAGAAGCTGGAAAATGCATTACGAGGGAGCACCTTCGCGTCACGGAGCTAATCTGTCCATATAGAAAAGAAATTCCACATAACAAAGGAGTCCACAATGGAACTGCAACGCGGAGTGGTTATGCACAATATAGGCGAAGGAACATGCGGTCCTGGACACCTAAAAGACTGGAGCACAATATTTTAGGAGATTTTGCTATATTTTCTAGGGTTTTTCATATTAGGCATATTTATATGCCTAGAATGCTAATAATCCCCGTATTTAAGTTTAGTTTGAACTCAAATGTATATGTACTTAGCGTCTTTTCGAGTGATTTGTGTATTATGAATTAACCAACATGATTAGTTGAGTAGGAAATTTTAATGCAGTAACGTGCATAAAAAGGGACAAAGGAAGCAATCTGAAGATTCGAGTCAAAAGAGAGCCAGGAAAAAGTTGGAGAAAATGCTCCAAGGCATTTTCGTGATGGCCCCTCGTCACGGAGAGGGATTTAGAATTAGGGTCACAAAATTAAATCGAGGAAGAACACTTCGTGATGCCTCCACATCACACAGAAGAAGAAAAACTCTTGGACGAGAATTTGGAAGGCGTTGTGCATCATGTGCCTGAGTCCCAAAAGTGGTAGTTTTGACTTTTAGTATAAATAGGATTTTATTTTATTTTATTAAAGCATCCTTGTCTGGGCTTTGAAGAACGACGACATTGAGACGTTTTTATGAAGTTTTAGGGGTACTTCTCAATCTCTTTTCCTTTCAATCATTTTGATGATTCATGACCATCATATGATTGATTTTTAGGCTATGAATAGATAAATACCCTAGTTTTAGGGTTGAGGCTATATGATGTAATCTTTTGAATTTATTATTGGGTTATTATTACTATCATATGAATCTATCCTATGTTCCTTTTTATGTATTTCATGCTTGATCACCATAGATATAAATCCATTATCTTTATTGTACTCCGGAGAGGAATAAAAGGATAGAACACAGGGAGCTTGTTAAACTCTAAATAGATAGGGTTGATTAGTTTCTAGGATATAGATATACCTCTAAACCTCGCTTGGGTCACCATACAACAAGATAACTTAATGCTCGGTAATATTAATCACTCTATCCCCACTCAATGATGTAGTTAGAGTGTTAATTATCATAGGCGATTAGAGGTCGGGAGACCATAATCATAAATCTAACCTTGTGATCATTGATTCGATAGTTAGTAATTACCCATTTAAATGATATTGGTTGCATGATTCCTGATAAATGTTGTAGCCCTGGATCTTTACTGAGTCATTTTTTTTGAAATATTAGAAACTGAATTACACTATTTACATTTTGGTTTTAAGTAGAAGTAGAAGATACATACTCTTGAAAATTGGAATTACAGATGTGTTAAACTGCAATTTAGGAGAATTGATTAGTTCTAATCATAAGTCCCTGTGGATACGATATCTGACTCTCACAAAGAGACACTTTATTACTCGTACGATCAAGAATATTTGATTTTTATGATTTCTGAAATAAAACGCAATTCTTAAGTCCCTAAAAGCTGTGCCACAAAATTTTTGCGGTTAAATTGCACATGCGAGTAATAAAATGCAAGTGTTGAAAACATGATCTTAGAATTTCATTGTTATAGGTTTTAGTGAGCTCCAAACAGGACAATTATCAAGAACTGTTGTCGCCTCTCTCAGAACCTGAAAGATTCATACACAGAAGGTGGACATAGAGAAAGAACCTGAAACAATAGCGGCTGCTGAGATGAAAGTTAAAGACGTGGTGGGAGACTTGAACTGAAGCAGAGTATGGTGCAAATTTTGCACACAAATGGGTAGTTCAGTGGTCTTTCCATATGGATCCAACAATTCATATTCAGAACTTCCTCGAGATCGGTGATACTTACACTCCAGTTGGAGTGAACAAATATTACCTGAGGCTCACATTATTCCCCCTCTCTATGGTTGGGGAAGTAAAAAGATGATTGAACTTAGAGCCTGCAAATTCAGTCACCACCTGGGACAATGTAGCACATAAGTTGCTCCTTAGGTTTTTTCCATCAGGGAAACAACAAAATTGAGGAGTGATTTATTGAGTTTCAGGCAGAAAGGTGGAGAGAACTTGTACCAAGCTTGGGATAGGTTCAAGTCATTGTTGATGAGCTACCCTCATCATCATTAATCCAAAAAGGTGTTAGTCCATACCTTCATTTAAGAATTGGAGCCTAACACCAAGATTTTACTTTATTCAGCTGCAGGTGGACAGACCTTGGAGAAGACTTATGCTGAATTGTTCACCTTGTTGAAATGAATTTATTAGGGAATCAGATTGGAATCAAAGTGGAATGAAACTATTAGTACATAAAACTGCAAGGATGTTTGAAGTAGATGTTGTCACTGCACTGACTGCTCAGATTTCTGCCATGCAGAATATGACGAACAAACATTTTAGTAACATGACTTTGGGGCAGCAGTCAACTCAAGTCAATGCAGTTCAACAACCACCATCTAAGTGTGAGATCTTTGGAGAAAGTTATCAAAATGCAGAAGAATGTGGTGCAAATCCAGACTCGGTAAACTTTGTGGGTAATTCGCAAAGAGGAGGAGATCAGAAAAACTATGGTAATTTGACAAACCAAGTTGGCGAAACCACCCAAATTTCTCTTGGGGGGAAATTAGAATCAGGTCCAAGGACAGAAACAATATAGACCGCAAGGCAATGATTATGGGTACCAACCACATGCATAACGTGAGCAACCAAAACAACAATCCAGAAATATAGTATTGAGGATATGTTGAAGAAGATTATGGTGGATCAAGATCAGTTAGCCGCGGATGTGAGAAATAATTAGTTGGCTACTTAGAACTTGGAGAACAATTCAGGCAATTTGTTAGTGCCCCAAATTCACGACCACAAGGAGGGTTGCCTGGGAACACTGACTCGAATCCTAAATAGGTGAACTTAGAGAGTACACACAGTGTTTTGCAATTGGAGGAGTTAGATCCTAAGAAAAGAAAAACTGAAGCTATATACAAGGAGAGTGAACCCAAGAAGGGTGATTTCAAAGAGAACGAAGAACTTGCACCAGCTTAAAAAGTGCAACCAATAGTGGGACCAACTCTCCCATTTCCTTAGATGTTCAAGAAACAAAAGGAGAATTAATATTTTGGTAAGTTTCTCTCTCTCTTGAAATAAGTTCACATTAACTTGCCTTTGGTAGATGTGTTGTAGGGTATACCTAGGTATGTAAAGTACTTAAAGGAGATTGTGGGCAGTTTCATTGTTCAAATAACTATAGGTCAGAGCATTCATGCTAGAGGGCTATGTGATCTAGGAGCTAATATTAACTTGATGCCAAATTCTTTGTACAAAAAGCTAGGGTTGGGTAGTCCTAAACCAACTACTATGATTTTGCAGTAGGCGGATAGATTAAGGGCTAGGCTTGAGGGTGTTGTGGATGATGTGTTGGTACACGTGGGATCTTTGATTTTTCCTAGTGTTGAATTTTGAGCCTGATCCTGAGGTCCCATTAATCTTAGGGAGACCTTTCTTAGAGACTAGGAGGATAATGATTGATGTAGCAACTGGGAAACTTACTATGAGAGATCATGATAAAGTAGAGGTTTTTGATTGGTATAAAGCCTCGAAGATGCCAGCTGTGTATGAAGAGTTGTCATCCATAACCGTAATTGATCTTGAGGCATAAGCTAAGTATATTGCAACCAAGGATCCCCTAGAGCGAGTGTTAGTGGGTAATGACTTATATGAGGATGCTGAAGTACAAGAAATTGTATAGTTCTTTGATGTGTCACTTATAGTGAAAACTGGAGATTGCTGGGAGCCTTTAAACAGGGCATTAGTTCCTCCACCCAAGCCCTCCATCAAAGAAGCACCCAAGTTGGAGTTGAAAACATTGCCAGCGTACCTCAGATATGCCTTTTTGGGTGAAGATAAAACTTTAGTAGTTATTATGTCTACAACATAATCTAACAAATAGATAAAAGCCGCACTGTTGAATTTGAAAAGAAGGAAAGCAGCTCTGGGATAGAAAATATCTGACATCCATAGAATTAGCCCTGCTTTGTGTATGCACAAAATATACATGGAAGAAGGATACAAAGCAAGTGCACAATATCAGCAGAAGCTAAATCCATTTATGAAGGATGTTGTTAGGAAAGAGGTCATTAAGTGGCTAGATGCAGGGATCGTACACCCGATATTTGACAGCAAATGGGTACATCCAGTGTAATATGTTCCCAATATGTACGAAATGACAGTTGTGACCAATGAGAAGAATGAGATGATACACACTAGAGAAATGGCTGTGTGTAAGAGTTTCATAGCCACTAGGAAGGACCACTATGTGGTACCTTTCATTGGTCAAATGTTAGACAAGTTGGTTTTCCAAGAGTATTACTGTTTCCTTGATGGTTACTCAGGGTATAACTAGATTATCATTGCACCGGAGGATCAAGAGAAACAACATTCACTTGCCCATATGGCACGTTCAAGCGCATGCCATTTTCCTTGTGCAATGCCCCATCTATATCTCAGAGATGTATGATGGAAATTTCCATAAAATGGTGGAAAACTTTAGTGAAGTCTTCAGGATGATTTCTCAATGTTTGGTGAGTCATTTGAACCATGTTTAACTAATCTTGATAGAGCATTTGCTAGGTTTGAAAAGACCAATCTGGTGCTGAACTGGGAGAATTTTCACTTTCTTTGTTAGAGAAAGAATTGTGTTGGGACAAAAAATCTCCAATAGTGGGATAGAAGTTGATAAAGCGAATCTGGAAGTGATTGAGAAGTTACCCCACCTATATCAGTGAAGGGAATAAGAAGCTTTCTTGGACATGGTGGCTTTTACAGAAGGTTCATCAAGAACTTCTCTAAAACTGGAAGGCCTAAATGCAACTTATTATAGAAATAGATGAAATTTGTGTTTGATGACAAATGTTTGCAGGCTTTTGAGATGCTGAAGCATAATTTGATTAAAGCTCATATTTTGATTGATCTAAATTGGGAGCTCCCATTCGAGCTGATGTGTTATGCTAGTGACATAGCAGTTGGAGAAGTGCTTGGGTAGAGAAAGGACAAGGTATTCCACTCCATATACTATGCAAGTACAAGATTTGATGCAGTCCAATGAAACTCCACAGTGACAGACAAAGAGATGTTAGCATTGGTTTTTAAATTTGATAAATTCAGATCATATCTAGTGGCAACCAAGGTAATAATGTATACTTACCATGCAACCATTCGGTACTTGTTCAATAAGAATAATGTCAAACCTACGATTATTAGGTAGATCTTATTGCTCTAAGAGTTTGATCTTGAAGTAAGAGAATTGAAGTGAACCGAGAACTAAATAGTTGATTCATCTATCCCGACTATTGGATTCATCTCATGTGAAAATGAGGGGTAGATTCGTGAAGAGTTTCCTGATGAGTAGTTGCTTGCATTGGACATTGTTCAAGTGACTTGGTATGCTGACATAGTGAATTTTTCGAAGGGTGGTTTATTTCCACGTGGGGCATCAATACGTCAGAAGTACAGGCTAAAGTATTATGCACACTTTTATATATGAGATGATCCCTATTTATTCAATCAGGTTCCAAATCAGATTATGAGAAGGTGTAAACCTGAGCAAGAGGTGACACAAATATTGGAGATTTGCTATGCGGCGCCATATGGTGTACATCATGGAGGTGAAAGAACCGCGTATAACGTATTGCAATCTGGTTTCTTTTGCTCTACCTTATTTTAACATGATGCTTTATTTGTGAAAGTTTGTGATCAATGCCAAAGAATGGGTACCATTTCAAGGAGGCATGAGATTCCATTGAACAACATACTAGAGGTGGAGACTTTTAGCGTGTGAGGGGGTAGACTTCATGGGTACTTTCCTATCGTTCCCAAGTAATCAATACATTCTAGTTGTTGTGGACTACCTGTCAAAGTGGGTGAATGTTGTTGCATTACCAATAAATTATGCCAAGTGATATTCAAGTTCATACGGACGCACATCTTCACTAAGTTTGGGTCGCCACGGGCTATAATCAGTTACATAGGTACGCACTTAATCAATAACTCAATGCATAGATTTAGATATGTATGGGGTGATGCACAAAGTGGCTACATCATATCATACCCAAACTAGTGGGCAGGTTGAGGTATCTAACATGGAGGTCAAGAAGATCCTCCAAAATAATGTGAATGCCCAAAGAAAAGATTGGGTTGGCAAGCTAGATGATGCCTTATCGGAGCATCAGACTGCTTACAAGACAATGATAGAGACTTCTCCTTGTCAAATAGTGTTTGGAAAAACTTATCACCAACCCTGAGTTGGAACACAAGACGTACTGGGCTATCAAGAGGCTTAATTTAGATGCTGATTTAGTAAGAAGAAAAAGGATCACACAACTGCTTGAGCTAGAGGAGTTTAGGCTTTATGACTATGAAAATGCAAATTTACGTAAAGAGAACACCAAGAGGTGTTATGACAAGCATATTGTGTCACTCACATTTGATCCTTGTCAATTAGTATTGTTATTCAATTCTAGATTGAAGTTGTTCCCAAGAACACATCGGTCTAAGTGGAGTGGTCCATTTGAGGTAGTAATGATGAATCAACATGGTGCTTTGGAATTGCGAAACAAGGATAAGAGCAATACTTACCTTGTTAATGGGAAATGGGTCAAGAACTGCTTTGTTAAGAATTTGGATCGTGATCTTGAAGTGCTCACACTGGATGAAGAGTGAGTCATGAGACGGGTCGTGCCACAATGTTAAATGAGGTGCTACATGGGACCATTGTAATAGTTAGGATTTAATTATTTTGTTTGGTTATTTTTAGTTCTTAGAAATAAAAAAATAAAAAATAAAAAGAGTCATGCCACGACCAAACTTAAGGTGTTGGATGTGAGACGACCCATCATCAACTAATAAGTTAGCTGTTGAAATGTGCAGGATTTAGGGGTTTTTCCTAAGGATAATGTGTGTTGCTAGCACGTCGCATGGAGGGATGCTGAGAATTGCCCCACCTAGGGAAATTTGAGGCAGAACCATGCGTGTAAGCCATGCGTCACGCAGAGGGTTCCCAAAAATAGATTTCGAGGAGGAATCAAAGTTCACATCGTGAAAATAGTCCATTGAGTGCTAGCTCCATGTCGCGAAG